TATGAATATAATATACAAGTTTCACTTTTTAAATGGAATTACTGAAATCAATCTACTTTTTCATGATATTCTAATTTTATGACCAGCACCTGTATGCACCACACAAAAAGCAATTGGTAAACATTAAATTACATTTTCAGTTCCAAATAAATTGAATTTGTTTGAACATAAACAGATGCTAATAAAATAAAATAAAAAAATTCCACTAAATAAACCTGTCAGTATATACAGCCTTAGATCTGACATTGATTATTGACTCATATAAACTGGCTCCATACGGGAAGCACCTACCTTATCTGTGCTGTGCCTGCACTGTAAACAAAAACCCACATTCTCCAATCAGGGAGAGATGATGTAAAGAAGAGTTAGATTATTTGAACTGGCTATTTTAGCAGCTAATCTGCACAGGATAGCCACATCATATCCAAGTTGTGGAAACTTGTTCACTGGTTATGAGAGCTTTCAGAAGTGGTGTGATACAGGGACGTCATAAAATAGGCATCTGGCTTTGCTTTGAAGGCAAGTATGTTTCTTAGGGGCTGGAAGACAGCTACATTTCATACCAAACTTTAACAAAGGCATTATGTCATCATATATTTGCCTATTAGTGACTTTGAAAGATTGAAAAAAGCAGGATATGGAACCATTAAAAGGTTTGAATTGAGTGCGTATTGTCCACTTTAAATCCAATTGAGAACCACCATCTTGTCTTCAAAGGTTTAACAACACTGATAATTATTAAAGCAAATTTTCAAAATCTATTCACAGTGTGAAGGCAGCCATGATTCTGCCTGGAGCATAACGTTCTTTGCTGCTTTCCAGGATGTAAACATTATACTTGCACTACATGGTGAATTTTTAAAACAGAATTCAACTCAGTGTTTCTACTGCATTTTGCACCATATCTATCTTTTTATTTTGCACGTCTCTCTGTTTACATTTTGATCACTGCTGAACTTGGAAATTGAAATGTTAATTTCACTGCTAAGCTGCTGCTCATTCACTGTCGGAAAGCTGTATGTAAAAAATGTCATTTTGTATACACTGTTTAAACTAAATGATAATAAAGTTTGCCTAAGTCATATTAAATTCTACTACAATGGGTCTCACTTCTTAACTATAGTTTTCTCACAAAATTCCCCAAACTTCCTAAAGTTTCTCAGCTGCATTTACGTAGATTTTATTCAAAAGTTAAAATTCGCCCATCTCTGTATTCTCTCTTTTTAATTTTAAATGTTTTTAATTTTGAATCACGCTTTTAATTGTTTTTTGTTTTCTTTCCCTTTTGCTTATAATGTTTTATGTAAAGCACTTTGAATTGTTCTGTACATGAAATGTGCTATACAAATAATCTTGCCTTGCCTTGCCTAAAAATCAAAGGACCTTTGGACTTCCACCAGTTGTAACTGTGCTGCAGAAGAGCAAACACCTTGATGACCAACATAAGGATACTGAAATGTTGGAGTGTTGTTTGTGCAGAATGCATAAGAATTTAGACGTAGACCTAAATTCATGCTGCTTGTTTTTCGTCACAAACAGCAAAACAGCATTTTGACAGCTTGACTCGACCTAAAAGTAATAACTTCCCGTTTTATCCTGTAACCCATCTACTTACATAATTTGGATGTGTGCAATTCCCCCCAGGTGAGAAATGAAGCAAAGGAGAGCACAAATCTTCATTGTATTTTGATAAAGAGCATTGATTGTTAGTGTTTTGTGACAACCTTTAGGCTGCAACTAAAGTAACAGTATTACCAAACACTTTATCAGCATAAAAAACACAAAATCTAAACATGCTAGGGAGTGTCTGTAACGTTGTCTTGATGTAATCTAGAAAACTGCATCAAGAGCAGGACATTTTGGTTGACTTTTATATTTGTGGTGTACTCTTTGGAAGAGAGGGGGGTCTTATTTTCTTATTGCAGTGCTATTGTCCATAAACTCTCAGAATTTATCTTGTTTCCTGCAACACTAATGCTTTTTTTTTCAACTTTTGCTTACAGACACAGATACACATTCTATATAATTCCAGAATAAGTAAAGACAAATTTCACAAGTTTGAAAAAGCTTTATTTCCCAAATCCTTTTAACTTTACTTATAATATACAGAACTGTATTTGCTCAATATGTCTCTCATCGTTTCATCCATGTTTACAGTGTTTCCTGCTCTCTGGAGCAATGGAGGGATACCCTGAATGGATGGCCATGTTAACGTTTGCTCAACCTATCACCCCTGAGAAGGCCTAGTCAATGCAACTTCAGGATATTGTCTATAAAAGGCCTAAAATTACAATATTATTTCAGTAACTGCCAGCATGGTGGAAAGAAAAGCTCACTCAAATCTTTTCATTTTAAATATTTTCTCTTGTACCTTAAAAAACATGTTGGTAAAACCATGTAAAGAAAAAAAATAAACTTTCCCCTGTTTTCATACAGAGATTTAACAATAACATCATCTACTCTGTTCTATAATAGTTACAATACAGATAACAATAATAACTCTGTTAAGGTCTTTATAGTTACTATTTCTACATATAATTGGCCTTTTCTCTATTTGTTTTAACAAAATTGTCACCTAGGTCATAGTTCCCGTTGAGCAATAGATAGAAACAAACAGTGAAGATTAAAGGCTGGCTGGTTCACTGAGAAATGCGACTGGAGAGAACCATTACATCATTATGGCGAGGAGACCTGGCGGTTTTACTAACCCAGAAAAAGGCTTGGGAGTCCTTAGAACATAAATGCACAATGATTGAAAGGGTTTTCTTAAATCACAAGCACTGGATGGCAGTTACAGGTTATTTACGACAGGTGGCACTGCTGCGTCAAACACATGTACACACGTTGCACAGATGCATAGGTTCCTGTAGGTTAAGAGAACATGATTCGGTGAGACTGTTGAAGGGAGGATGAAACATGCGCTCCAAGTCCTTTTTTGAGACCTTGCCAAGAGTTTGTATTCAGCATAAGGAAAGGAGAGAATGTCAGCAGATATCCTGCGTGGGAGTCGGCACACGAGCACAAACAGCACAATGACAAGTCGATGCTGCATATGTGACACTTCCACATCACTCGTCTCTGACGTAACAATGTTTTGCTCGGTGGAAGCCATACAGAGATCCCTACTGCCTTGCTGATGTATGAAGCGGCAGTGTCATATGGTGCTTTAGGTGCCTCTCGCCTCTTTCTCGTGAGAAGAATGGCCATGAGCATCAAACATCAAGGGCAGCAGTCCCACTGCTTTTTGTTTGGGTCGACTCTTTACTGACAAACCAGAGTTGGCCTTGGCTGTCATGGGGTGTACAACACATTGTATGAGGAGTTTACAGCAGAGAATAGATAAAGTCATTGACACACCATCAACATAAACATACTGAATGTATTGCTTTAAATATGAGGCTTGTCATTATTACAGGTAAACTATAAAATGATCGTTCTCAGTTGATTGTTTTTCTATTAAATTCATAAAACATACACCTACAAACAAATAAAGAGAACATCAATGCTATTTTCATTGCTTTTGTAAGTAAATCGGTTTTAAGGTGCTTTTTAATGTGGTTGCCATGGCACTGTGCTTTGTATCCCCCCCCCCACGCACCGGGATGTCAATCAGAATGTGGCTGAGTGGCCTTCCCACCCGCTGTCATCAAATATTTCATCTTCATGCCATCCATTGTAGTCTCATTATGTGCTTTGATTGTGTGCGTCATTTCCTTGCTTCTCATCGTCTCAAACTATGATCACAGCAGAAGAAAATCGGGGGCAACATTAAGGTGATGGGGGCGAGGTGAAAGGAAAATGGGGTTAAAAAGAAGTGAGGATGAGAGCAAAAAAAAAGGGGAAATTTTGCAGGATAGGACATCTATGGCTGCAAAAAATATTTTCATGCCGCTACTTAAGGAAGAGCGTAATCCCAAGTTGCACTGCATGAGTAATACTCTGAAGCACGGATTCAGATTCCAAGGAGCAGATTTGCAAACTGAAAGAAAGTCTAGTTGACAAGATGACCTTTTTTGGATACAAATGACTGCTTAATCATGGATAACATGGTGAAGCAGGGGTTGTGTTTCTTATTTAAAAAGAAAGAATAGCTTTTTTTGTTTTTTTATTTATTTTTTTTATTTTGACACAGACAAACAACCTACTAATATTGGATTTTTTGAAGTGAGTTAATGCTTAAAGGTTAATTGGCAGCTAATGTCCTACGTAGCCTTTTTATTTAGTTCAAATCCAGAGTAGTTGGTTTCAGAGACTGATGTTAATGGGCAGTCTGAGAGGGGTCAGGACCTATTTAATACCTCCCTAAAAAGCTCCATCCATCCATCCATCCATCCATCCATCCATCCATGAAATCAAATAAAAAAAAAAAAATAAGGAGAAAAAAAAGAACAGTCTTCATAACAGACCCAAAAATTCAAGCCATAGTCCTCGCTGCAAGGCAGCATCGCTGACAACTGTGACACAGTTAACTCCTGTGTTAAAAATATCAGAATGAATACTAATATGCTATTTTATGCATGTAATATCATTTATAATGGGGAGTATCTACTCTAAAGCCGATGATCATGAATGTAACACATTTCCTGTCAGTGTATCTGCCAGAACGAGTATTCAGTATTCACATTCACCTTCAAAATATTTCAGATTTTTAAATGACTTTCTGTCCATTTACTCTGATAATCTATAATCTGACCAGAAATTATTTCCATGTTGTGTTTTCCACATTTTTAAGACGGTAGGATCAATCAAGGTGCAAGATCTCCTGCCTCTCTATCCTGTAGTAATCATCAGCACCTTCTCTATAAATAACTTATCAAAAATGAGCGTGACAACAAAATGGTTATCCAATATATAACTGGCCTAAACTGCAGTGACCTCCACTTTGGTTCCCTTTAGGCTAGATATAAGCTGAAGCTCAGGACCAACTAATCTGGATTTATACTAAATAAAAGCACTAAATACCTTGTCACACCACTGCATATCTGCCTTGTGTTTCCATAGATGCTCCCTTACTGAGCAGAGCTATTTGACACTGCAGCAAACATATGATCTGGTAATCCAGGGTGCCAGTTTTTTTGGACATGTTGGGATATTCTGCATCAGGAGCTCTGCAGCAATACACACAGTATACACTCTACATATATTGCTCATACATATAAGGAATGACCCACTAATAACTAAGGAAACCTTTTGTCTGAGGAAAGGGAAGGAATAACCTACTCTTTTTTCAATCAGTCAATAATTATGTGACCCCTTAGTAGCAGTAGAGCATAACAATTTCCTTCCCTGCTCAGCTAAGTCTTTGGTATGAAAATAAGTAGCATGCAACATTCTGATGCAGCAGAACACTAAATTACACACTATTGATCCCGAGACATGTGCACTGTTCAAACCGAGAGGGCATCAAAAGTGAAACATTTAATCACCTTAATATATTCACATTTACACCCAAATAAAGTTTCTTTTCCAAATGCCAGCACACAGCAGGATAGAAAGCAGTGTGACGGCAGCTTAAGAGGCTCATCTGCTGTTGGTAAGACATTAACTCCTTATAACCTTTTAACAAAATCTCGCAATAAAAACCTGAACACTACCATTAAGCTAAGACATGGTATGGTTTTATCCCTATCCACAATGCCATGCAACAGCATGGCTTAAGTTTGTCAGCTTAAAAACAGTGATGAGTGAGACTGGCCTCTGCAGCCATACACGTATGGCTTTGCTTCAGCTGCTTTAAGGACCTACAACGACATCAAACCTCCAAACATATAAGATAAAAGTTTTAAGAGCATCAAGTAAAGGGACCTTATTTTGTGGCAACCACACTAAACATACATCTAGATTTTTTTCTCTATATATTTTATAATAGATTACACAATAATATTCATAATTTAAACCATGTCGACCCATGAAATGGCTATAAAAGTGGCCCCTTTGTGTCAGTCACTGTCTGGAGGCCTGTGTTGCTCCCGAGGTCACAATAAAAGGAGCAGAAAGAAGGCTTAATGGGGGAACTTGGCCTCTATAATGAGAAGAGCTCTCAAGCCATCAGGCCTGATGGTTAATTGGAATTTGTGCACTCTTCCCATTTTTAAGTCAGGTGGACTGCATAGTTTGGATGCGACCTTAGTAGTGAGGTCACACTAACATGAGGGCCTTGGAGTTAGTAAAGGGACAGGGCTAAGCTTAACTGGGCGCTTGGTTAAGTCTTTAGTAAGGGGAGAAGATGATGGGCGCGTGTGTGGCCCGCAGCGGCCCCGGGGCAGGCCGGAACAGTGCGGGGCCCAGGAATGGGGTCTGGATGAAGGTGGTGGTGCCCACCGGGTGGCGCAGAGCCAGCGGGTTTGTCGCCACTGTGCACAGAGTCGGTGGGGTGAGGGGGCTGGGCAGGAAGCCAGTTGTCAAACTCTTGGTCAGCTGCTTCTGCAAAGCCAGTTTGGTCTGGAGAAGACAGGAATGGGGGAACAGTAAGAAGCAAGAGAAGAAGACAAGGAGGGCAGAACACAACAGTGATCGGGCAAACATGTTTCTCCAAAACATTGGCCCTTCATTCACACACTAAGCTGCATAGCGGGAAAATGCAATACACCTTTGAGTAAATTATATTGACTTCATTTTACATGAAAAATATGTAAATAGATAATTTACCCACAGGTGATCAAACTTGCATAAACATCATAGACATAGAAGACAATCTAGGAGTATGGCAAGGACACAATCGTTACCTTGAAGTTGAAGAAAATATGTATCTCTGAAGTTCTCAGTCAAATAAAAGGTGTCAATGGATTTTATTTTTATGATGAATGATTTACTCACTAAGGCAAACTAAGCTTATTTAGGTTTCTGTTCAAAGCTTACACTTAAAAAAAGGACAGGAAACTATATAAAACAGCAATAAAATGCTTTAAAGACAGCCTGTTATTTCCTGGAAGCATCTTTATTTACACAAAACCTCTTATAACCAGAGGTTGATTACAGTTATGCATTAGCATTAGTTTAGGCTCATATCAGCAGACAGCTCCCTGGTTCAGCTGTTACCTCTGGAGGCGGCAGTGCAAACCGCATCAATTCCTCCTTTTCATACCGTGTCTGACCTAATCAGTGTCATGTATGTTGTCATGGACATCAGCTCTGTTCCTTATCCTAGGGGTGTTTGCAGCTGATTCTCCTGCCCGAAGCTCACTACATTGTGCAGGAAGCTCCAGGTGAAAAACTAAATAACACCTTTTAGCATAAATAAAGATGAAACTGATCACTGTGACAAAAACTAAATTATGCTCATCAATGATTGCACCTGATAAAAATATCAGAGAACAAAAAGGGTTAAAATGCTATTCTCAAAGTAATGAATCAGTAAAGAAGTCTTTAAAATAAAGTGCCTTGCAAAAATATTCACACCCCTGAAACACAGAAAGGATTCAACTGAGCAAAAAAAGATAAAAGTTGTGTCTGAAAGAAAACCAAATAATGCTTTTTTAAACATTTATTATAAATTAAAAATTTAAACACTGTACCATTCATTTATACTGGGCATATATGCTTTATTTTATGTAAAAAATAAAGCATACTCAAGGTCTGTGGACCAAATCCAGCTCACCATAGTAATTTATCCAGCACTCAAGAGTAAAGAAAGGGGCATCATGTCATAAAATAGAGGTATATGTTCCTTTAAAGTGGGAGCAGAGGTAATAACAGAATGGTTTGCTCTCTGGTAATGGAATTATGACCAAAGTTTAATTTTTAGAGGTTCATCTAGAACCTTTTTAAGTCGGGAGTGTCTCAATATAAAAATAAGTTTGAGAGTTCCCATACATGTAACCCAAAGAATAGAAGAAAGGCGACCCCTAAAGATACACGCAGTAATTTCACTTAATATCTATTTATAAATATAGGGCAAAATAATTCGATTAATCTAAAAAAAACTTAAATGACATTTATTAAATCATTTTAAATGCAATTTTCCTTATTCATTGGAACATAAATTTATTTAATTATGCATTGTATGTTTAACTGTATATTTGATATAGCCTATTAATAGACTCTTATACCAAAGCAGCAGTTTTCTGTAGCTCCTCCCAAGATTTCCCGGCCTCTGTTGCTCTGATTAATGCACTTTTGTTCTTGTCTTTTAATTTAAGTGAAAAAGCATGTCTTGGTTTGCTTGCTAAACTCTTTCCAGTTCCAGATGATGTATAATGACAACTAAACCCTGCTTTATACTTTTCCACAACTTTCTTCCTGCAGTCATCGCTCAGTAGTCAAATTTGCCCTTTTAAAATGTTATTTGCAACAACTTGGGAACTTCCATTCTTTTTGTTGGTTTATCACTTAGAATATGTTAGTTAGTGGTTGTAATGGGAGAAAATGTAAAAACACTAAATGGGCATGAATAGTTTTGCAAGGTACTCAATATATGAGATGCAAACTGTTTTATTAAACCGTCTTCCTCTGAATCATGCAGGTTTTAGAACTTTAAAGTGCTTTTTTTCCTGCTAAAAATGCACCCTAAAAAATACTGCCTTTTTTACCACATGCTTGGTTCACCTATGTTGTTAAAAAAGTCGACCAGCTTTATAATTTTAACTCTACCAACCACATTATTATAGTCATTGTAAATACAAGATCAGTGCCACCCCTTCAATCTTAAACTACTTTATTTTCTGTGTTTAGTCCCCCGTTCACAGTCAGTCCTAAAGCTGAGCCAGCACAAGCTCTTGCCCTCCAATCCAACAACACTCAGCCTCTCCTGCCACTGACCTGAGAGGAGAGAGAGGTGAGATTGCACTGGGTGAATGCTTTCTTCATGGCAGACACGGCCACGCCTGCATAGCCACTCCATCTCACGTTCTGCAGGATGAAGGAGGAGGAGAAGGGGGGGTGTATATGACACGAGTAGAAAAGTGATTAATCTGGAGTGCTGATTCAGGCGGCTGCTCAGGGGTAGAAGACTCACTAACTAAAAGAGTGTTTAACCTCTGTGACATTACAGAGACACAGCCATGCTGTCACAAAATGATGCACAGTAGAGACCTTTAAAAGCCTTGTAATTTGGTGTTTTTTCCTGTGTGTTATGAAGGGTTGTGGTTAAAACAACATTAACTTCGAGTGTAACTGGAAACGATTCAGTTCTGGCAGATGTACAGTATACACCATGTTAAAGCATATCTGCAGTAAGGAAGCAGAATTATGTCTTGTTTTGTTTTCCACCAGTGTGTTTGCGGATGCTTGCTTATTTGCGTGACCGTGTTGTTGTTTGTCCACGTCTTCAGGCTGAGACTTACCGCTAAGCTGGAGCTCGGCTGGCTCTTGCTGTGGGGGGTAAATTTGGGTTTGGGTGGTTTTCCGGCCAGCCGATCCTTGTGCCTTCTGCTGTTCATGTGCTGCCGAGACGAGCAGAAAAAAAACATTAGCCAGCTCACAAGCATCTGTCGTACCACAGCAGAACAATCTCAAACGCTCTCCTCTGGAATAATAAATAAGCGGCGGGTATGACTGAGGTGCACCGAAATTACATTACTTCATTGAAGCTGCCTTGCACTGCCATGCTGGCTGCAGTACCTACAGGCTTTTGTCCTCCTGGGAGGGAGGGTGTTTATATAAGACTGGTGGAATGTATTTAGGGCTAAGGCAGACTGGGTGCTCTTACACATGCCAGAGCATTCTCTGATATTTTCCACATTCCACTCCAGTGTAGACAGCCTCATGACTCAAATAAATAGTAGAAAGTAAACATCAAAAGGAGAGAAATGACTTCCCAGCCCTGGTTTGATGGTAATACATCCAGAAGAAAATGCATATTGCACAGCAGCTTGAAGTAAGTGGCAAATAAACGCCAGCTTACTGAGCCTTTTGTTGAACTAATAGATGATATCTTTTAGGTGTTAAAAAAATAGCAGCTTAAATGTACATTTAATGGCTTTATTCATGTGCCCGAGCTGTTAAAAAAAGCTTACCACATTACTTGCATCAAAGTTAAAATTAGCTTTGGGATTAAACCGTCTTTAGGACTCCATCATTCATTTTTATCACTATCCTAACATCATTTTTAATGCAGCAGATTAGAGGTGAATGCGATGTGACGTTGAAAGATTCAATTTTAAGCTCCCGGTGTTCATTTTAACGGATAACAATCTGCAAGCAGTTCTGTTTTCTGATTAATCCTGCAGCCACAGCGTTTCTCAGTGGAGCAGAGCTGGGGAAATTGTGTGCAAAGTTTTCTCCACTGCCAGGCATTTTGGGAATGGTGAGCATTTCCCAGCAGAGTCAACATCACTTCTATGGCCTTTTGAACAAACTCATATCAGGTTTGCAGCACTCGCGCTTGATATGCCTCGACAAATCTGTAGGGACTTCCCCGTAGTCCCTCATACGGCTCCTTTTTAAATTTCCATAAAAAAAGAAAATTCCAGAGTATTACTCCTGTCATTTTTTCCTGTTACAGTTCTAGTTCTTTTTCCGCTTGTCATAAATGGTTCAGTAATTTATTTATGATATAACACTTTGTAGTATTTCTTTATTTATCAATGTCAGAACCACAGATAAGACTATCTGCCAAATGGTGTTTATTACTGCCACCAAAGCAGCTCTAAGTCCAACAGATGCAGTTTGTGCTCAGTCTGCTGTATCTGACTACATGCTGTAACTGGCTTCCCTCTTTCATAAGGCAGCCTGCCTCGTAGTTTATCTTTTTTTCCTCCTCAGACAACTTCTGATAGATACTGACCACTGTGGACTGGGATCACCATGCAGGAGATACACTAACCAAGGGGATTTACCAATACAGTCTGGCACCAATCAGATTATCTTAAATTCTTATGGTTATCCTTTTCTAATTTTATATTATGCATAATATATTGTAGATGTTTTGAAACCCGAGTGTAATTTTGCTTCTGAGAAAATTTCTGGAAATATTGAAATTATTTAGTTTTGCACTGGTTTTATGCATATAAAGTTGGCCCCTATGTAACACAGGTGCAAAGGACTTCCTACCCTGAACTAAATAGGCAGGTTTTCTCATCCATATATTTAATTTAGATTTATTCATGTCCCCTACCTGTTATGCATTTATCTTAGACTTAAATATATTGCCCAATGTTCTAAAACATAGATGAACCAGACTGTATATATTTATTTTACCTGGCTAAGTTGGGTTTCAGAATTCACAAAGATCTCACACACTTCACACTGGAAATTCTTGCTAGGCACCCCAACGCTGCCTTTGCTCGCAAGCCTCTTGCTCTTGCAGCCAGCTCGAGCCGCCACTACTTTCCCCCTGCGCCGCGGGAGAACACTGTGACCTTCCAGCATCAATTTGTGCTTTGTACCTAGTGGACAAAAAGCAGAGATTTGACAGGTTCCTTTTCTGTCCAAAGCCTTTTTGGATGAGAAATTTCAGCAACAAATTTAAGAGGCTTTTCAAAACGTTGGTGTTTGAGCATAAAAGAATACAAGTTGGGGTCAAAACTTAAATGTACCGCTGTTATGTGCTTCTAGTTGAGACGGGGAGTTGACTGTCACTTTACAGACAGGACAGTGGAGGTGAGCTTTGCTCTTTTTGGGGTCTTTGTTGTCTTCCACACAGGCCTCCCCTGTTGTGATGGATGGGTCGGCGACGCTACACGACTCGCTGCTCAGACATATAGCCTCGGTGACCTCGATGGCCTCTGTGACCACGGCACCCTCTGGCGTGCTGGTGTCCGACGCAGTCTCCATGAGCTGCAAGGAAGGTGAAATCTGAGGAGGGGAAAGCGTGACCAGCTCCATGGAGGAAACCTCGGACACCGGTGTCAGCATGACGGAGCTCCGTGGACTCTCTTCCAGTTTTCCCTCCGTAATGGTTGGTTCCAGATCAAACTGAAGGCCTGTACAGAAATAGAAAAGAAAAGATGAATATTGGCAAACTATAAATCCATAACAGGACTGTTTTTGTAAGTATTGCCATGTTCCACTTCAGTCCTGAGCAATAACACATCTTGAAGCACGGTACTTTTACTTAAAGTCTGCTCTATTTTTTTATTTAAAAATCAGACAATTAATAGGCATGAGTCCTATCCGGTCTGCTAACACAGGCACCAAACGATTTTTTCCAATTATTAAAAATCATTAAAAACATATTTTATAAAAAATAATTTAAAAACCAACACATGGACTTCAAAAGAGTTCCTGGCTGAAAGCATTGCTTAAATAAAAATTAAGCTCACATTATATTTAGTCCTGATAGATTTATGTTTTTTCTATTCTTTTCAATAGGAAATAAGACAGAGATTGTTAAAAAAAAAAAAGCAAAACAATGTAAAAGGAGTATCCTTGCATAGCTCCCTAAAATTACCCAAAATGTCTCAATTTGATGGAAGTGCTAAATGTGGTTAAAATAAAAAAAGGCAGCTTTAAACCTAAATCTGCAGAGGAGATTGATAGTTTGTCCTTCACTGTTGATGACCTATGAAGTTCAGCTACAGATACTATTTATCTTGTGTAGAGGGATTTTAGAGGGGAGGTTCTTCTGTTTTTCATCAGGTACATCCTTCCTAACTAGATCTCTTGTTAAGGATGTTCATGTCTGATCCCAATTACCAAAGCGTTTCTAACTGATTGATCCAGGCAGTCCCTGAAAAATCCTCCCACCAAATAGCTGGTGTCGTTTATTTGCCCCTTTTCCAAAGCCGCTCAAAATCCTGGGGCTTTTGAGGCTTTGCAAATACTGCTTTGATTTTCCATACATAATTACCCAACTTATTTTCATTACCTGTGATTTCCTTTCATGGGGATTGGTATCTCAAGTGACCCAGTACTTTGTTCTGCTTAGTCAGGCTCTTGTAGGGGTGGGGCTAAAGGAGCAATGATTGGTGGGCTGTTTGTAATCATTCTGCACACCTCAGAGCAGGTGAAAATGAAGCAGGACTACAAGAGGCTAAAGGACCACAACAACCGTAGCTGGACAAACCACTGGTATACCCAAGTGGGTGTGACCCTGGGATACATGCTCACCAGAACCACACCAGACTTGGCGGCATGGCTGTTCTGAAGGCTGTTAGCCAAAAAGAGCTCTTGGATGTGGACTGTAGTCAGAATAAGTGGCCTGTTCTTACATGTTTTTATTATATCTTGCAGCAGGAGGAGGGAAAGTTTGTATTGAAACACATGTATGCACACCCAATGGGGTCTTTCAAAGTAATGGAGAAAGGAACATGATGGACAAAGGAACCAATTGGTCAGGATTCCTAATAGTCCGGTAATAAAAAATCCTAGGGGCTTTAAAGCCTGGGGCTTACAGTGGAGAAGGAGCTATAGTCTATATCGGCCACACTCGCAGTATGCACTTTTTCCTTATGCAAAACGGTTTTAAGTTCAACATATTATTTTCAACTAATGATTTCAGATCATTCCTAATAGTTTGTTCTTGATATAATACAATACCATTATTATAACTATGTTTTGTTTGCACAAAAGCAGCACAGACTGCAGCTGAAACACAAGTTATTGAATTTGATACAAAGTCAAAGCAAGAGAAAAACTTTTTCATTAAGTTCTGTTTCTATGATTAAGTCAACCTGCACAAACAGATGAATTATGAATCAAAAAGATAAAGTAAACATATAAGCATTAGCAAACTTTACTGTATAAAAATATCTTCCTCATTATCAAGGCTTGAATTTATTGAGTTTCATGGATGATATACAGAAAACCTTGTCTGGACTAAATATCTGTGAATTGTGCAGAATGTTGTTCTGCTGTGTTTTAAACCACATACGTCTATAAGTCTGATTTTAAGGATTCGGTGACAAAGAAACCAGGCAACAGTTGGAGACTGATGGGAAAAGACGTATTAATAGGGGAAAAGTAATTGTTGGGATTGCACTATTAATTAGCATTATTTTATGTCATTAATAACTAATACTTGTTTTGCCACTATTTTTTTCCTCTCTTCTTTTTCACCTTTTTTTAATCCCCATTTACTCTTCAAATATCAAGTGGATCTTGAATCTCAGTCAATATAAACAAACCAATCGACTGCCAGGTCTCACTGATAAGTCACTGGAGTTCCATTACAATTCCCCCCTTCACCTCTGTTGTCTTCTCATGGGAATCAAACACACTTCACCCCAGAGCACCAATTGCTACGCTCACTGAATATCACTATTTCATTTAGGGAGCTTAACACACGCACATACCACCCCCTCCAAACACAACCCACGCAGCTGACTTTAGAGTGACCGTGGTCCATTGATTTTTCCCTTTTATGTCTTAGAGTAAATTCATCATTGGAGATAAGGGTCTTCCTTTTTTCATTCCTTTGCGGGTAAAAGAAACTATACAGGAGCAAGATTAGACATTCCCCTTGCTGTAATGAGTGTTACCATTGAGGGATTTGAGCATTTTTCCAGGAGGGGGGTAGGAATAGTGGTAGGAATGATCTGTAAAAGACCGAGCCACCTAAGAGGTCTGTGGTGACAAATGATAGTGATCAGTGGCTTTACAGGAACCTCACAGAGGAAGACATGAAGGTTGGTGGGAATCAAAGGCCTCTGAAGATTCAAGGCTTGAGATCAGAGACGACCTCGTTTAGAGATCTTTATTTCCAGCTAGGTAACAGAAATCTTTACTTTCAGACATATATATTTAAAGAGAACAAAAATACAGACTTTTATATATGATCTTTAGCACAATGGGTATTTTATAAAGGCAATAAACAGAAGAACAGCTAAAAATGAATTTTATTTTAAAAGTTTGTGCAATGTAGTATATTACACAAACAATTACAGATAGTATTGATCTTATTTCTAAGAATAAAGCTGGCTGCCTACTTAATAAATGCCCTGACTGTATGTCCTCTGACTATCGATATAGCTATACAGACACCCTGGAAAACTGTCAAAATTGTCAAAACAAAGAACAGCCTATTGGCAGCTGGCCCTGTGAGGCGTAGACATAGAGACAATTTAAAAACATGTGGATCTATACTGTAATAGCAATCAAGACGAACATGAAAATAATTAAATTTGTGTTTCCAACAGTCCATCATAATCCATTTCTATTGCGGTAAAGATCTTAGGAGATTATCAAACAGCAGACGGATTGAATAAAAACTTTAAACACCGACAGACACATAACGAATATTCACTCATTAGACTCTTTATACACACACTTGCCTGCCCTCTCAAGATGCTGAGCACTTGATTTACTTGGCGAGCACTGATCCGAGGCAGCCTCAGCACATAAACAAATTCCCAGGGGAAAAATACTTGCTTTAGATCATCATTACTGCGGTGACAGACAGAGTCCCCGCAAAAGATGACTTCAGCAGCGGAGTCAATCAAAGCTAGGGGTGATTGATGCTCGTCGTGATTGATGGTGGCTCTCAGTCTCCTGGTGCCAGCTTGGCACTTGCTAGACGGCTGTCCTTTGTTAGTCTGAGGTATGCTTTACAAAAATCAATCTGTCTCTTACTGTGACTGGAAAGTTCGTCGCTGCTTATACTCTTGTTCTCCTTCTCAGATGAATGACTTGTTGCACTCAACATGATAAAATACCTAAAGCCTAATATGTTTGGGAAGCATCTGAGAGATCACATATTTCAATGTTTGTAAAACGGTAGTAACAGGCTGACCTTGTGGGTTTAGGGGAATATTTTTCACTCAGATAGTGTGCATACTTAACTGAACCACCGACAGGGAGGTTATTGCTTCCTGAGTACAGACACTGAGGACATTAGCCTCTCAAAGATCCCCAGCAGCCTTTATTTTCATGGCAGATGTAATTCATTTCATCGAGTATTAATTTGGAGCGCTTTTCCGTTCCAGTGCCGCATTGTGCTGGATGCCAGCACTGGCTCACTCTGGTGCATTTCAATTTCACATTAGGCCAGTCGCACAATTGGGCTTATAAAGAGTGTTCTTTGGCACAAAATTGCTTTGGAACCACAAAATAATTCACAGCATAAAAATTAGCAATGACTTATCTACGTCTTCAGTGCTTTCCCTTTCTGAACCCTTTCTGTCTCCCTCTCTCGCCCTCATTCATTTCATCTTATCTTACATTTCCCACTCATCATCTCATCTCGTTTCGCCTCTACCTTGCATTCCGCTTTCAGGGCTTTTGCGACAGCAGAATATTAAAATTATATTTGATGAGGGTGTTATCAAGCTCCTGGTCTTTTGTCCGATTTCTCCTTTTTGAAGGAGACTCTTGGCACTAAAGGCAAAAAAGTGTGTATGCGAGTTTCTATTCATGAACTAACCTATCTAGAGGATAAACAGTGTAACTTCTCTCAAACCATCATATCTCTTTCCCTGATGATATGTCTGCATTTCAAAAATACTTCTAAGATAGGAATCCTCTATTGGGCAGGCAACTTAAAAACTACAGGATAAGAGGGGAAATCTGCCAGAGTCCCCTCGCTTCAGAATGATAAATGAAAAGTCTGGATGTAGACAAGTTTAAGTGCCAAAGAAACAATTCAAGTTGTTGGATGACAAGCTGCAGCTGTCTGCAGTGGAAAAGTAAATTTTTTTTTCTTGTTGAAAACAGTTTTACCTTTTTTTTTTTGTCAAGCAATAAATAACCCCATTTGCACCACTAAAGTAAGCACATTTGAACCTTTGAAGAAGTAGATAAGTGTCTTATTCCATTTGACAGCCAGTTAAAATGAAACATATCAACAGGATTCTGCTTCATTTCTGTTCAAACAGCACTTTTAGCTGCTATTTTCACGCTGAACAAACACACCGATTCTGGTCCTGTCACTATTCTCTTATTCTAACTTAGGAGAGAGCAATAGCAGAGAGCAGGAGGGAGTAATGGGGAGTCAAATAATTGAAATCTAAAGAAAAAGGAGTAACAAAGAATTCTGTGAGAGTCCAACCCTTCCAAGCCTGGTTATTGGAACATTTTAGACCGCAATCCTTCTTAAAGTCTGAACACTTTGCAACCCTCCACCAACGAAAAGGCTGAGGGTAGGAATTACAAACAGTCTATAACTGTGAATTTAAGTGTATCAATTTACTCCTACATTTTCTTTCAAACCCAATAAATAAGATAGAAAGACTTAGAGTTGAGCAAGAGGCGAGGCAAAGCTGCCAATTTTTTGCAAGCAAATATTTAAAAGAATTACCAGAAAATGTGTTCAAAACCTGGATAAAGTGTCTTAGTTGTAATTTGTGCTACATCGACCCTCTCAGTCGTATTATTCTTGTTGTTCTCCTTTCAGCTTATTCACTTTAAATACTGTTGGAGCTAAAATTCTAAACATCATTCTAAAAATGGAGGAGCTAACTTTTTCCCAGGTTTTTAGTGTCATTACATTGTGTACACTTTGGGAGCAGTGGGGTGCCATTGTGCGGCGCCCAGGGAGCAGTGTCGGGTTAACGTTCTTAGCTCAGGGACCCAGAATGGCAGTCTGTGGGAGTGGAGCTCGAACTCAGAACCTCAGGATTCCAAGTGCAATACCCTTACCACTAGGCCACCACTTCCCCAACTTAACATTTAGGGTTCAGGAGTACAAAATACCAATACTATGAAGTATCTGAAATGGATGCAATTGTTTCTTTAAAACATATTTCAAAATGCTGAGGGGGGCGGACAAAAAAGGTGCAGGACTTAATTCATTTCAATATTTCCCTAGTCTATCTACTATATGCAGGTTTCCTTATTGAAGGTCCAGTAAAAGCAGTTTCACTGACTAAAATTTTGTTGGATATTTTATGTTTTTCAAGTGAAAACCAAAAATAGTCTTTGGTCTTCAAGGATTGAAGCTGTTTTCCTTCCATTATTTCACATTTTTGTGCGTGACTATACTTTAGAATCTGTTTATTATTGTTCTGTGTTTGGATGAAATATTCAATCTCTTACATATTTTTATAAGTGTTTCAGGTCATCAAATAAATTTTTACATGAGCCATAGAAACTAAATCAAAGAATTTTTTCTAAATGGAAATAGGACGTTAAAAATCTCCTTGTCTTAAATAAAGAACACCAATGCCCTCTTTGTTAAGTTGTGAATTAACTGAACGTAAACACAATAGAACTGATCTGGCAAACTGAAATAGTCAAATCTGAAAAAGAGAAACATATTAAAGTAAAAAAAAAAATGTCAGAAAAAAAATCAAAAATAAAGTCAGTGAAATTTCTAATGTTTTGGGACTTAAAACACACGTTAGTGATTTGAAGTTTTTTACATCAGTATATTTCAGCTTCGGCAATAAAGTTACACAACCAAATAATGTTAGCAGTTTTTAAATATAAACATTAAAACAGCAGTTTTAACTTTTGCAGTGGTGTCCTATAATTACCTTTTGAAAGACTTCTTACTTTGAAATAAAGAAGTCAAGACTCCAAAAAAAACTTTTAACATGTACGTACTTAAAGGAAGAATATGAATAAGGTAACATAGATTTCAAATGTGTTGCAGTAATTTTAGGGTTGGAGGAAGAAGAGACCAGCTATAGGCTATATACTAGTCTCACAGTTGAGACTAGTATATCATATAATATAATATATAATATATACACAGTTTTCTGTACACGTACTTGTTTCTTTTACTAAGCTCGTTTCCACAGGTGCTGGAAGAGCTGCGTCAGCCGATGACGTCTTGCTTCTGTCTCGTTCCCGGTCTCGGTCCCTCTCTTTCCCTGTGGTTGAGATCTCCCCACCTCGTCGCTGCCTGTTCTTTTGGGCCTCCATGGCTTTGAGTTTCCGTGCATGTTTGTGTCCTTTATAATGAGCCTCTGCTTGGTTCTGGGGGAAAATGGTGAAGAATGAAATAGCCATGTTAGAGGAGAGAAGCACAGAGGACTCAATGCATTATTCGTTGGAAAGACAAGAGCCTGTGTGCAATAAATGTTGAAATGTATGTGTCTGAATATTCTTTCTCTCACAGGCATCCAGAGGCTGCAGGGAGAGTCTGTTTCCACCTGATAACAGAGCTGGCACACAGGGAGGCCAGAGGTATAATTGCATGTGTAATATGCAACAAGAGAGAGGATTCAATCTCTACAACTACCCCATTAATGTGCACTGTGAGAGTCAGCCTCTGCAAAACCCAGACACACTTGGCAATACATACTAATTTTACACACATTTGAGCTCTCATGAGCACACAAACACAAATCAGACTCAAAACACATTCTGACAGGCAGCACTGCAGCAATAAAAGCACACACATTTCCTACTGAGTGAATGACAATTTACTTTTCCATTGTCATCACTCCTCGGACCCTGTTCAATCCGAGAACAAAAGCTCTGTTGTCACACAGACCATGGATACATAGGGACAGTAAAGAAATCAATGCACAGATCACTCATTAAAAGCTAAAGCAACCTTTGGGGATCTACTCATATCAGCCACTGGGGGTGAATAGAATGTCATTTTGGAATCCACAACCTACACATACTGTATGGAGTAAATTAAGAACATATAACAAAATGACAGATAAAATTACTTCTAAGAACGTAGGATGTGGAACATGGGAAGGGTAGAGGACTTTACATAAACTCAGCTTTGCATATTTGGTAGTATGTTGGCAGCATTTTTTTTTTACATTTCAATTATCACAAAAAAGAAAGGGTAGATTTTTTTTTTGATCAAATGAAAACTTCCAGAAATACGATACAAAATGTACAAACTCTGTGATACTTCCCTAATTTAGAGCAAAATGCCAGTTTATCTGATTACCTGAGAAACACCAATACATCAAAGCTCACAGCTAATTAAAACAGATTACTGCTTAAGTAGCGCAGAGACACAGTCAGACGAAAATACATAAGCACATCATCTGACTGCTTGTGTTGGTGTGATTAGGTCAGCTAGAATCGGCTTTCTCACCAATAGCCCGTCTTCCTGATCAGGTCTCAGAGGAGACAAAAGGAGGAGGCGTGAAATGAGCTTTGCTTCAATCAAAAAAACTACAAGGGGATGCTGTTCCATCAAAAGGATCCTAGATTCTCCAGAGTTTAGAAAACTTTAGGATGAAAGGAAACACAGGCGCTGTACACTTACTTTAGACATATATATGCTGAGTGGGTGTAAAGCTAGTTCCACTCGAGAGCTTTAAAGAGGAATTCATTCCTGTCTCTTCAGGAAATTAAGCAGATATAGAAGTTAAACATATCTGTTAGTTGCTCTAGTTTATCGGTTAAACCTCTATGTTATGGGAAAGGTTAAAGCCCAATGTCTATTCGATGATATTCTGATTTTATATGACCATGAAAAACAAAATAATGGTTATTTAGAGAATGCAAGAACATTAGTAACACGTAAAAACATGTCAACCAGGGTGCATCTGGAGTTTAGACATGCAAAACATAGAAGAGCATTAAAAAATGTATTAGCATTAAATTTAAAGAAAGTGCGTTTGACAAAAGTGGTAAAATACACACAAAGCAATGAACACTGATGTAAGCAAAGTAGACTGCAAAAGAGGTTATTATCCTTAAACTTTTGTTCCCTTGGCTTATTTCTAGTAAAACTGTGGGAAATGACATGCCCCAAGTAAATTTAATAGATCTAACAAACTAAAAATAAACCCAAGCGTCCTTCCACATTAGACATATTGGATAATTTTGGCACTGTGTGTGCCATTTTAAGTTTCTTATGCTTTTTTTCCCTGATATAATTTTTTTTACTTATATCTAACCACAGATGGCACGTGCTCAGATACAAACACTACAATCAGCTTGAAAAAAAACGAGCAGAATGCTTCCTACCTATAATTCAGTTCAATGCAGTTTATTTATATATCGCCAAATTCACAACACATGTCATCTCAAGGCACTTTACAGTTAGAGCTATAGTGCATTTAACATAGGGACTTCCCGACATTCTTATCTGGAGCTTAAGACTATACAGTTTCCGTTTTCGTAGCGTAATGACATCCGGAAAGGCTCAGGCAGTTTGGATTTAGCTCAGCAGTCCAGAGTTCCTTTTCTACCCACTATAGTGTTCTTACTGTTGAGCCCAGCTAAGAACAGGAGCTACAGTTTGCTCAATTTGGCATCAGATAGAGTAGAGATCAAGTAACCAACATTGTGACGTAGATAGTTTACTACCAGACCAGAGTGGATATATTTACTTCTATACAGATCATGACCATAAAACAGTAAAGGTTAAACTAAAATTATAGTTTTAGTTTAATATAATAAGCCTTGTTTTTCATCTTTTTTTGCCTGCTGGTTTGGTGAGCTTAGGATTTATAGTGGAAATACTCCTGTTAAAATTTGGTGTTGGAGTGGAAAATGTTTCTATAATTTAGATGTTCTGTGGATATGCCATATGCATAAATTGGTAATTGTTTTACCCTTTAAAAAAATTGTTACTGAATTTTTTTTTTATTTAAGAATTAAATAGGATTTAATGAAAAGTAAGATTTAATAAAAATATATATCACAAAATGGTGTGAATGATGAAAGTGCAATAATCACCCCATATATAATTTACCCCTTTTAAATTGACTACTTAAGAAAAAAAGCTCAACTAATTGCATTCAGAAGTAATAAAATCACAGATGGGTCCAACTGTGAGTGATTCAATGTCAGTTAAATTTGAACTATTTAGTGAAAGCCTCACAGGTTTATTTGTTTTTTTAGTTAGATTTTTTAATCCCTCATTTAATCAGGTTAGTCCCAATTAGATCTAAAACCTATTTGCAAGAGAGAACTTGCTAAGAAAAGTTATTGAACATATAACGGTAAACAAACAACATACAAGAAGGGCCAGAGGCAAATTTGTGGAAGCTTTAACATAAGCCTATGTTATGAAATAATATCTCAAGGGGTGACACAATGTGGTGGCAGCATCATGCTGGTGGGAAGCTTCTCTAAAGCAGGGACCAAAAAACTAGTGAGAAAAGATGGAAACCTAGATTCTATAAGCAACAGCAATAGGCTTTAGATTTCAAAAACATACACTAAATATACAGACAGAGCTACAGTTGAATTGTTTGAATAAAAGCTTATCTATCTGTTGGAAAGGCCCAATTAAAGGGCTGCAGAAGAGGATAAGGGCCTCTGAGGAAAAAAAATACTCCCAAAAAATCGGACTTTTTTTTTTTTTTTTAAACTTTAATTCAATCTAAGAAGTCTGAGAAAAAAAGGCTGAATATTTCTTTATCGTCTTCCATAAAAATCAGACCTAATTTGAACTAGAAATATGTGTAAATTAAAAAAATCAATCAAATCAACACTTACAAATGCTTTTATGCTTTCCCTAGTAAATCCTTAAAAAACAAACCTGGCAAATTTGTGGCTGAGAAAGAATAAAATGTAAAAAAAATCCAAGTGGTATGAATACTTTTGTATTAATTAACTGATATGAGAAACAAATTAATTCATACAAAAGTATTCAAATTAATTGTTATGAGAAACCTATTCCTGCAGTCGTTCTATCAATTAGACCAATAATACACCGTTAAATACTTTTAAATGTTTAACTATTTAAATAGTTTCTACACTGAGCAAAAAAATTCACCGTCTTTAAAGAATATTACAACAAATCCAGGTAGATGCGGCTCCAAATAGCATTTCCAATAGAGATGTTATCTAAAAAAATCATAACAAAAGTATTTTCAAATACACTTCCAGTATTTGTTTAAAGTGACATGCTAATCTAACTGTGACAGCACAAGATAACAATGTTTGATTATTTACAGAAGAAAAAAACAAGACAGTAGTCCTCAAGTTTAATTTCTTTAATTTCATTCACTTGTATTTTTCAAATTATCCTATTACATCATTAAAACCGGATAACTCTTTTTGAATTGCCAAGTCTTTTCTTGTGTCCAATGATTATTCTTCAGGAAATAATAAAAAATACCCAAACTAAGTGTAAAAGGATTTTAAAAACATTTTTATTTGTGTAATTGCTAATTCACTTTATAAAATACACAGAAAAAAAAATGCTTTAGAAACTTTAAATGTCATGAGGTGGGGTCAGCTGGTTGGTACAAACACATTTACAAATTCAATTATTTTTGGGTAAATCAAATGTTGATACAGTATTTTGTTTCTCACCAATGTACCCAGACCCACAAGCTTAAAATATTCAATAAAAGATAAAGAAAAAAGTTATTAATTAAAATAATACAATATAGATTTGTATTTTTTGTGATTGGACAACTCTAAATAGATTAGATTATAGCCTTTAATAGCGGTTTAAAATAATCTGTAAACTTCCACTCAATAAATGTTCCTCTTAGAACACAGTGCCTCAGGGAAAGTTAAAATGAAATCCATAGCAAACTCTGGAGAGGTTTCAGGAAGTTTGAAAATGTTAAAACTCCTGAATAGACTAAGTAACAATAAAGAGAAAACGTCTGCATCTCCTCTCCCTTCGCAGCCCCCTGCCTCCTCAGACCTTTTTGAAGTCTGAAGTCCAAACGTAGCTACGTGCCTGTGTACCAGATTTAGCTGCACTTGGACTGAAGTCACCTCTCTGAACTATTTGTTTTTTTTCCTTTTTAAAAGTTCATGAAATGTCATGAAGTATGTGTGCTGTAGAAAAGAAGGAATGGTAGCTGAGAAAGCTGCCTCCTGCTGCGGCTGCTGATTGTTTCTGCGTTGTACTGATAAATGGAGTCTGTCACTGCCGTCTTTTCCCTCTCACCTAATCAACTGTACCATGCTTAACAATTAAAATGAAATAAAAACTGAACAATCCTTTAAACAGAAGAACAAAGACAACAACACCACAATTATATTCTTTATCAAGGCTCTGATAAATCACATTGTAGTTATCAATACACATAATTATTTTAATAAGATTCACAAAAAGAAGGTAATTCTTTGTGACTGAAATGCAAGGCGCTTACAGGAAAAGAGATAGTATATCATTATGGAAATACTAATCCATTGTTATTTTCCATTAAATTTAGGATGGAAGCAGCAAAAAGAGTTAAATAAACACACCTGAATATTCAGAGTGAGTTTTTAAGATTGTCGGACTGCAGAGAACATGTGTTTCATACAATGCCACTGGGAAATTATCTTTAGCAAGGACCTTAGAAAAGCCATTGTTGCATCCCATCAATAGTAGAAGGGTCATAAAGACGATTCAAATCTATTCTAAAATCTATTCCAATCTATTCTAATTCCACCATTTGACAGTGAGAAAGATTATTCACTATAACAAACAGTGGATACGATTATCAGGATTAGTGGATAATTGTTAATGACCCAACTGCAGTGCTGAAGAGGCAGAGAGGTTTTCTTGCAAAATTTAATAAAGACGTACAAATACAGAACCGATAATCCTGAACTGATCAACAAAAAACGTAAAAAACAAAACAAAAACTAGGAGTTATTAGGGAGGAATAAACTCAAGGAATGATCGAACGAAGAGAATCCAGCAAAGAGTAACTGCAGAGGAAGAGTATATATGCCAAAGAGAACAATGAATGGAGTAATCAACTGATTGGGAGCAGGTGTGGACAGAAAGCTCTAGAAGGGACCAAGGGGAAAGGAGACTGGCACAAGGGGGCAACAGAGTGTAAAAAATAAATACAAAAGTGCTCAAACACAACCAGAAAATGATAACAAAAAGGAAATTAAATCAATGACCTAGAAAACACAGAATGACTTAAATCAAAGTGTAACTGAAAACCAAAAAGAAAACAGAACAAGCAAGATGGTTCCTTTTGGTGAACGTCCAATCCTTTGTCTGGATTGGATGTTCACCCAAACATCAGGTCGAGCAGATTAAAGATTAAGAGTCAGGGACAACTGCAGGGTAAATAGAAAAATAATAAAAAAGCAGTAAAGAACATTTGAAAGGTATGAACGTGAATGCTTTTTCCTCTTTGAAGGAACAAGGAAGCCCAACTTGTATTTTTGTAAAAAATTAGGAAAAAAAAGTCAGTAATAGTTAGCAGTGGTATGATGGAAAAAATAAACAACACAAATGTCAATCGTAATGGTCAATTGAAGATCTGATTCCAGCCAAAGTAGCTTAACACCTTAAATCAACCATTAACTCTTCTATTCTCGACCCAAATATGCGAACACCTGTCCAACAGCTGAAGACTGACCTAAAGTGGATTATCAGTAGAACACAGACAAACATAGCAACACGAAAGAAAGCTAATGATGAAGAATCAAGAAACTACAATTTTTCACTGAGACAGACTCATAAGCCAGTAAAATAAACCAGTCAATGAGCTGAATGTTTCTTCCTCTCTCTTATTGCCGTGTTTCTCCATCTTCTCTATAGAGCCAAAAAAAGCTTCTCTTACCGTTGAGTTGAAACGCAGGTGGCATATGTTGCAGGAGATGATCTGTTTCTTCTTAAGGGGCTGAGGGACCCCAAACGTGTGATTAATCACTGCCTTCTGGACAGGGTCCATCTGAGACAGCCACATAAAACAACAGGATAGATAGCATGTTAGCATTAAACCACAAGGCTGTACATTCACAGAGTCTCAAATACATAAGTAGACGACACAAAATCTTTTTCTGTAAAGAAAATATTGTTGATACATTGTAAATGATAGTAGACAGAAAACTAAAAGAATGATTTGCATTCATTCCTTACAAAAAGAGAGGAACACAATTTCCTATAATTTGGAGTACAATTCTCTATTTTTTGTCTAATGTAGAAATATATTTATTTAATTATTATCAGCTAAAATTATATATGCGTCAATTAATTTTTTACATCACTTGATGTATTAATTTGTCTTGTTTTTAAATTGTGGGAAGGGGCCACATTTAGTTTAAGAGCCACAATTAGGCCACTCTAGAGACTTCTTTGCAGCTGAAAACGTGTCATAATGAGTCTAAATTACTGCATTATGCATCTATGAGATTATTTCTCCTTTTCTTGAAATAAAATTGTCCTCCAATCTGTGTTTTTGCTGCATATAATAACCAGGCCTAGTGGTTCTTCCTATGCTCTTGACCTTCTCCCTTTTCCCCATTACTACAGAACACACTGTACAAATTACTAGCATGGCCTGATACAAGGACTGGACAATGAAACCCCCAGAAATAAATGATTCATTTTTATAAGTGATTAAAAACTTTAAAAAATGATAGCAGTTTCCATCTTCTGAACAACAGCTTGGCCTTCCTACTTTTATTACCTTGGAATAGAAGAAATAATATCAGATAGGTGCAGAATTGTACAGCAGAGCTTAGGTGGGCAGCAAAGGTCAAACCACCGTACAACTCAATTAATTGGATTTATCAGTATCATCTGTACTGAGGGACAAACACGGAGATAGTTCTGTGACGGAGCTGAGGCAAAGGATTTCTCTCCAACGTCTTTATCCCAGACATAGGAAATTGGCCGTACCTGTTTGGGATGCTGGCTCTAGAGATGCTAAAATTTTGGTTAGGACTCTCTCAGCTTCTGAATGGGGACAGATTCTGAGCGATAAGTTGGCTTTAGTGTTTTAGATAACCGGTTATATGCAGTAAAGGGTTAAATGAAGGCATGTATGAACTTTAGTTTTGCACCCAGAGCTACAAGGGTCAGTTTATCCAGGCTAATTCACATTATTGTCAAAGCATCTCATAAAAACTGAGGTGTTTTAGACACAAAAGCAGGATTATAATAAATATTTAGCAAATTGTCAAACTAATGCCACGGCATGTAGACAGCACAACAAGACACGCATTTAGTACAGTTTATTGGCACAAAAGAGGTTGCATTTTGGGTGAGAAGCCCTTTAAATGCTACTTTGAACAGATAAAAACATTCCTCTGCTGCTTGTGTCTTACCAATGTGCAGTAATGTTGAGCTATGTTCTTGGTTACACCTCCACACTGATGAGTGACTGAAATTGCATGCTAAATTCATTGCTGCATATATCTTGGTTATTAGTGACAAAACAGCTACTTTCAAGGATAATGTTTGTTTTATGACATCTAAGGTGTTTGTAAAGAGGACCAACATGTATGTGAGCAAAACCTGCTGCTCATTTTTTGTTTTTCCATCAATGCTTAGATCAATTTTTAAGTATTTATTTTAACTTTAGGCATGCTTTTAAATTTAAAAATATCATACATTACTTTTCCACTAGTGCTCAGAGACCTATTAATGTTCTCACCTGTTTTAGACTGATCTAGGAAGTGTAAACTTTTTATTAATGGAGTGTCTACCTTGGCCGGAGATGGACCACATTCTTCACCACCAGAGGTTGATTAACTAATCTGAATATTCGTAGAAATGTAAAACCTTTACCCTAGTCTAAATTTTAATGAGTTAATATTTTTTAAAATAAAGTATGATTGAGGTTTACCTGACAGGTTCAAATCCTTTTAAAAATTGCTTTTACTTTGCTAAATCCTAACACAGAAGATAGCTCCTGGAATTTACTGAGCATCAGCCATAATATGTTAGGATCAAAAGATCTATCTCCCTTGGGGTTACCCTGCATGCAGGCAAAGTGCATGAAAAGAAAAATATCTTCACATCACATATCATCGTCATAAAAAAAAACCAACAGGGATGAAACAAAGGAGAAAAATCATGCCAAGATGTTCCCTTGGTGACAGCTGAGCAGGTTTAAGGCATAAATCTGAAACAAATAACTTTACTTTGTTAATCAGCGTGCCGCCTCTGTTTGATGTGAACAGAATACCTCAGTACCTCTGCATGAATGTGTATTATTGAGCTTTTCCTCACCTTGAAAGCATTTTTAACCCATACACCAAAGTTAACATGATTACAGATCTTCATTAGTTGTTTTATTATTCACTGTTATGTCACTCTTCTCACACCTTCTGTATTAATACACGCAATTTAAAATTTAAAAGCTATCAAAAAAAATGCCAAGAAAATGGTAGCAGTATGAAAACTGAAATATAATGTTTTAATAGCTCCACATTCTGCTTTTAGTGCATGTATAATTTAGTGATCTAAAGACTCCAAACCTTTATCACAAAGTAATACATTTTCCGAGTTTGAAATCATTTTATACCTAATAGCATATAGACTATAAAAGCACATGTTCAGGCAAATAATTGGAGGCGCTTATTATTATTGACAACTTTAGTTGGCTACCTGAGTCTTGGGATTTAACCTGAATAAACCCTCAGTTCAGTCATAATAAACCATCTTACTTCAAATAAGAAATCTCTTCTCACAACAACCTGTGTTGGTGACCTTCCAGACTCTTACTATTTCATTTTGTTTGAATTAAAGCTGCCTGTAGCCGTGAGATTCTTTTTTCATGAGTCATAATAAGGGGTCGTGAAGGTTAACCCTTTTTTCTAATGTGAGGTCCAATAGTGATTGCTTTGTCAAAATTTACCTGTTTTTTTTTTTTAAATCAAAAGTAAGGTGTTTAAAATACTATTGTTAAAAACGTCCTTAGCAGACAGTTTTTTTTTTTTAAATTGAGGGGTGGAGCAGACATCTGTAAAATTCACCTGATGTAATGGGGAAAAACTCTCGGTATTTGGTAAAACAAGTTTTTGCTTTATCTAATTGGCTATGTGGGTCAATTTCACTTGAGAAGGTTAATGACAGGAATGAGATTGAACCTCAGAATAGCACTTATATCCATCCATTTTCTGACAAGCTTAATTTCAAGTGGGGTAAAAAGGGGTGCTGGTGCCTATCTCCAGCTGTCTACGGGCAAGAGGCAGGGACACCCTGGACAGGTCACCAGTCCATCACAGGGTAACACAGAGACAAACAGAACAAACAACCATTCATGCACACACTCACACCTAAAGAGAGTTTAGAGAAACAATTAATCTAAAAGTAATGTTTTTGGACTGTGGGAGGAAGCCGGAGTACCCGGAGAGAGCCCATGAATGCTCAGGGAGAACATGCAAACTCCATATAGAATGACCCTGGGCCGGAATCGAAGCCAGAACCTTCTTTCTGCAAGGCAGCAATGCTAACCACTACGCCTTGAGCAGCCACACTTGTATGCAAATGACGAAAAGATACCCAATCAAATAACCAGGACCTGACCAGGCTTAGTTTTAGAGTTTAGGTTTATACACTTTAAAGTTTGCAGAAGGCACCATTCTGTTCCTCAATCCTTTTAAAACTTGCTAAACTAGTACACCTTTAGGGGTGATCTCTAACCAAAGGCTTCAAAGAGGTTGCCAAGAGGTTAGGGCATAGAGCCTGGAATCCTCAGGTTCTGTGTCCACTCCCACGGACTGCCACTCTGTCCCTGAGCAAGTCTCTTAACCCCACACTGCTCCCCGGGCAACGCACAATGGCAGCCTCCCATATTTAAACAAATACAAAAATAAATCTCCCCCTCTTCTTTTGAATGCTTCTCGATTTCCAGTTAAATAAATTTATCTAGAGGTTGTGAGGACAAATATCTACATTTCTTTTAGCTGGTGAGGCTTGGTGAATCATTTATGCATGTTTGTCAACAAAAAGAAAAAGTGGGTTTTTCATAAAATAATCCACTTTCTTGAACTCAAAAGATGACAAAAGATGTCTGTTTGCTTCATTATCACCACTGCTGCTGTAAGGTAAGACTAATATAGATTACACTGCTTGTGAAAATGCAGCACAAACTCCCTGGTGGCCTATTATCAACAGCAAAGAAAGCTGAGGCTTCATTATAGGATCTACAGTCCACAATGACAGCTGATTCCATCACGGCACTCTTCAGAGGGGGATGAAATATCACAATCATGCTGGATCTTATCCTCAGCTGGCACAGGGCCTGACCTTGTCTATTCCTTGGCCCACATCTGAGGAAAGCTGAGGAGAGGTCTGTTCTCACTTTTTGCTGGACCAACACACCCTGTGGACCCAACCTGGTGACATTGCTGTCAGCCTCAGCTGCCCACAGATTACGGAGTGTTGGTGTATTGATAGCATTGACTTGGACGGTGTCTCTGATCACTAGAAAGCTGCATCGTGTAAAGAACTTGGTATCTCTTGAAAAATGGCTTCAGGTTACCACAGATTCCTTAAGGCCAGGTGTGAGAGGCAGGCACTATCCTGGAAACATGCCGCCATGCTGGTGGTGTGTGTCTCCCTCAGGGCTGATTATTTAGCTGCTTTATTTTGGTCTCTGTTATATGACTCATAGCTACCCCTGGGAGTAAACTGACTTTTTCTCCTAGCCAGCAACAGCGCAACCACTGAAATGTAGCACTCCCAGTCCTGCTGCCCTCTGCCCAGCTCGCTAGGGCACACTGCACTCAGTTATTTGTTTTAGGAACTGAAGAATGTGTCCATTGTCTGTCTGCAGCCATCCTGAACCGACTGCTATAAATGCCTCTTTTGTCCCAGTCCTTCACTCTCCCAAGCTATTCAAGACAGGACTTCTGCTGAGCCAGGCAGCTTAGTCCATGCAGGGGCTTCAGGGAAGGTTGAGAGAGGGAAGTAGACAGAGATGTAAAGGGACTGTATATG